GCCCTTTAAATGGATTTAATTTTATTTTGTTTAAAGCTTGATAAATGAATGTTTACACAGCCTGAGAGAGGGACGTTAGGGGTCCAGGTATGAAGGAATAAAGAGAAGAAAGTTGTATTCACAGGATTGTCAGCTGCAAATCAAGAACAGCAATTCTAGTCAGCACAGGTGAGGCCTCACTTGAAGTACTATGTCCAGTTTTGGGCCCCACACTTTAAGAAAGATGTAGACAGATTGGAAATAGTCCAGCAGAGAGCAGCAACAACAATGGTTAGAGGCAAGGGAAGCATGACTTATGAGGAGAGGCTGAAAGAGCTAGGGTCACCTAGTCTGGAGAAAACTGAGAAGGGAATTTGAGAACAGTCTTTAAAGACCTGAAGAGTAATTATAGAGAGGATGGAAATGGGCTTTTCTCAGTGGCTGTAGGGTACAGGACTAGGAGCAATGGCCTTAAGCTGCAGCAGAGGAAATTTAGGTTGGAGAGTAGGAGGAACTTCTTGACTGTGTGGGTGGTCAAGCACTGGAACAGGCTACCTAGAGAAACTGTGGAATCTCCATCCTTGGAAACTCTCAAAAGCAGGTTGGACAGACACTTGGCTGGGTTGGTTCAGTCAGGGACAATACTAGATTGAGCAGGGGGCTAGACTAGATGACCTTGTGAGGTCCCTCCCAGGTCTACTTTCTTATGTTTTCCTAAAGAAAATGGAAAATAGGACTGGTTAGGGTACTGGAGCATTGTAACGTTATGCTGAAAATTGGATGGTCTCAGGCAACTGTATCTTTGATTCATGGTCAATCCCACCACCTGAATAAGGTGGTTGTGGGTAGTCCCTTCTATCTCTTCAAGCTCAATGGAAACCATTACCTAAAAATTAAACTGGATGCAGATATATTAATTGCAGATTGATTTCATTGTTCTGCATGTGTATTTCCCTGAGAGTCAGAAGTAGGAAACTAGGAGAAAAGCAAAAGAAGTACATGTACTGGATTCCCAAAATAAAATCTACAAAGCAAGATTTTTTTGGCAGAGTGCTAACTGAAAAGAGTTTTGGAATTGTTACCTGGATTACAGTTACATTTTTAACCAGTTTTTTCATTAGCTGGTTTAGCTGCTTTGGGGCCTTTTGCTGTGGTTACGTTTCTGTGACATTCATAGATTTCATAGACAGGGCTGGAAGGGACCTCGGAAGATCATCGAGTCCAGCCCCCTGCCCCAGGGGCAGAAAGTCAGCTGGGGTCACTGGATCTCAGCAAGATAAACGTCCAATTGACTCCAGAGCAGTCACTTGCACTACCTCTGGTGGCAGTCTGATTTAGGCCTTGGGGGCTCAGACTGTAAAATTCTTCCTTATGTCCAGCCTGAAATGGTCTTGAAGAAGTTTGTGACTGTTTGACCTTGTCATCCCATGGGGCGCTCTGGTGAACAGGCATTCACCCAGACTTGGTGTAGGCCCCTTAAAAATAGCTATGGCTGGCAACACTGCACTCCTCTACCTTTTTCTGTTTGATTCATATCCCAACCAGGGAAACATAAAACCACATGATTAAAATCATAAATGTCTTCTAATGGAAATAGCTCACTGTACCTCCAAATACTGGCCAAGTACTCCAGCTGGGGACATGGATCTGGTGCATGTGACACACAATATGGGAACATGGAATAAAGGTGCAGAGGTTCTGGTGTCTGAAGGAAACTACATACAAGGGTGCTAATGAAAAGATGCTATAGAGGAAACAAGGGAAGGAAGGGCTGTTGGTCTGGAGAAGCAGGAAGAGAACTTTGGGAATACTGAGATCTAGGAGTACAGAGAAGGGCTGTTTTGGACTTGGGTATCTTAAATCCTTACTTGACTAAAACTAGTTTTATGGATGCTGTGAAACAGTACCACCATTTTAGGTATGGGGACCTAGGATGCATAACTCTTCTTTTGGAATTTTGCTTGTAGGCAGAGATACCTAAGTTTAAGGCACTACAATACACATGCCTTGATGAGCAAGGGCCTATATGTTGACATTTTGCTAAATGCCATCAACATGGATAAAAGTCTTTCAACTGAGTTGTTTCAGTTAAAAAAGTGATAGTTGGTATTTCTAATGTATGTTCTTTGTAAATAAATTCAGTTTATACACATTTATATTCTAATATAATAAAGGGCTTTGTCTGTCTGTCTGTCTAACTCTTTTGATCAAGTGTGCATGTGCCACCGAGATAGGGTTAGCACATGTCCGTGTCCTCTTTTTTAAGCCCTCTGATCTCAGTCAGGGCTTGTTTTTTTAAATCTGCCCAAATGTCCAGGACTTTCCTTTGTTCTGCTGGTGGGAGCAGGGGAGGGTGATCGGGGGCAGCAGGGAGCGCACACATATCTGCCTGCAGCTGTGGAGGTGCAGATCCATGCGGTGCTCCCTGCTGCCTCCGATCGCCTCCCACAGCTTCCACCCCCAGAGCACAGCAAAATCCCGGACATCTGATTCGGGCAGGGGGAGCAGGGGCTGGGGCTGTAACAGGGCAAGGTGGGCAGGGAGGGTTGCTGTTCTTCAGTGAGAGAAAAGGGTGGTGGGGTTTGGAGGTCAGCAGGGAAATCCCTGGCTGGGAGGGCAGAACAGGGGCTGTGGCCTGTGCTCTGCTCACAGGGGCTGAGCAGCTACGAGATCCTGGGTGGGTAGGGGGGAGGGAGGGAGGGGGTTGTGGCCAGGCTGCCTGGTGCAGTGCAGCAGCCTCATCCCAGGGCAGGAGGTGCCCAAGCCTCCCCATCCTCTTCCTTCCAGCCCGCACTGGGGCCAGACACACACTGCCACCACCTGCTGACCATTTTTCTTTGTTCTGGCATTGATGTGCCAGGCCCTTGAAGGGGAGCACGTGCACAGTTATTTGGGGCCAAGTAGGTGTTACAGTGTTTGGATTTACCTCTGGGTATGAATCAGCCCATTGCCACTTTTTAATTAAAAGTTCAGTATCGGAGTCACCATACTCCGGCCAGTCAGGATGGGGACAGCTGGGGCCCTTCTGGTAGGGCTGATGGAGTAGGGGGCTGTGGGTCAGGAGTGTGGGGGTGGGGGATTGTGGGCTGGGAGTGCGGGGGTCACTGGCGGTGCTGGGGGGGCTGTGGGTCAGGAGTCAGGGGGACCAGCAGGGGTGCGAGGGGGGGTGGGCTGGGAGTGCGGGGGTCACTGGCGGTGCGGGGGGGGCTGTGGGTCAGGAGTCAGGGGTACCAGCAGGGATGCGAGGTGGGGAGCTGTAGGTTGGGAGTGAGGTTCACCATCAGGGCCCAGGGGAGCAGGGTACTGCAGTTTGGTGAGTGAGGGTCACTGGCAGTGCTGGGGTCAGTGGGTTAGGAGTGAGGGGCAGCAGCAGGGCTGGAGGGCTGTGGCTTGGCAGTGAGGGGCAACAGAATGGACAGGGGCAGGGGCACCCTTTGGGGCTGGTCATGTAAGCACTCCTTTGAAATCTGTCATTCATGATGGGCAATTGGCTAGTTATTAATATGCGGTCAGCTCAGCTTTTTGTTTATGGAAGCTCAGGACAAAATAATAACACAATTGTAACAGAACTCTTTTTATATTTATTTATTTTGCTCTACAAACATCCCAGTATCTCATTAAATGTGATTGGAGTATGGTTGAACAGCTCTGTAGTTAGTACAAATAAATTGTAACTTCAACATAAATTACATGTTGCATTTTGTACATAAAAGGTTTATTATACCTGAGATTACAGAATGAATTTGAAAAAACAGTCCCTGCATATATGTAAACAGCTGGATGGATATTTGATGTATACAGCAAAAACTAAGCACCTATGTACTGACCATAACACATGATATATAATCAACAAATTAAGGCAGGTATTTTTTCTCCTCTTGTGCTACTTGAAAATGAGAAATAAATAGTTATATCCATGGTCAGCTAAACATATATTTGTTTAGTTTTAGGGACAAGAGGAACATTACTTACTTCCATGGAAAAGATCAGAACATTAAATCTATTACACAGTAAACACATTAGAATTTAGGATGTCAGCATCAGCCAGCTCATCAAAAAGTAAGAACTACATAACCTCTATACAGTTTGGATCCAGATAGGTCCAGCAAAGATCAAATTCTACACTCATCTGAGCAGTTCTGCTAAAGTGAATAGGATATTCTGTGTGGGTAAAGACTACAAAGTTTGCAGAACTGCAACTGTTGAGACTGCTTACATGAGTAAAATGAACAGGCTTTGAACAAGATGGCTAGATGTATACTGTACTGGGATTCTCCTCAGAGTTTTCAACAGTAAATTAACTTTGAAAGGCCCTGGATCTTTAATGGCAACTTATGTTAGCTAAAATGTTATTTTAAAAATACGTTACACTTCTCAAAGAAGTTAAGCTTTCCTACCTCAAATTTTATTCTTAGCACAGTAGGTTTACCTAGTGCCCACAGAAGTCAACAAAAAAACACTCACTTCAATAGGCAGTGGATCAAGTCACTTTCATTCAAAAGAATGAGTTAGAAAATCTTTTGTTTTCTTGAGTCTCCATCAAGAATATTTTAATTCTTTCTGACATTGAAATACAAGACTGAGTTTTATCTATTGGTAATGGACCATGATGAAGCAGGCAAAAGAGAGCCTGACTTTTATAAATCAAAGATATTTTTCTTCCACTCAACAAACAAAAACATCTACCAAATTATTAGTACTCTAATTGTAAACATTAAAAAAACAGAAACTACCTCTTCCTTCTGTCCAGTTTCCAAATCTATCTTTCTGTCAGCTCACACGTAACCAGGGAGTATGATTAATTTTCATTTGAAGATATCCCTTAGTTCTGAGATGGAAACTGGTGTGCAAGAGAATACAAGATATATAAATAGATCTAAAGAATACTTAGTTCAAGGTATAACTAAGGTATAACTCAAAATCCATTTAGTTCAAGGTAAAGCTTTATCACTTTCGTGTGCTGATTTTTGTATTTAACAACTGTATGCAATGTGATAGAAATGCAGAACTGGCCTGACAAAAAATTAAATAAAAGGAATCTTCAGGGCCCAGTCCTTCCATCCATCAGAAAAAATTCTCATTGAAATCAAGGTGGGCCTGTGCCCAGAGCAATGGGGGTCTTAAAAAAATTAAAATCACTGTAACTGAAAGTATAATAAATATTTATGAATCATTCTATGCTATATAATGGAGGCAAGTGTGGTACCCTTGAGCTTTTATTTCATAAATAAATATGACCCATGCATATATATTTTGGTATATTACAAAGAAAAAATGGAGGAGGGGTGGTCAGAGCAATACAAGTAATTGTGTGCCTATCATTTGCTTTAAAAAAGAGTTTTTCATATAGCATGACACAAAATAGTATGTTTCTTGCAAACAATATCTTTGCAGACATTGCTTCATGTCATTAAAACCACAGCACAGTCAGGAGTCTCATGGGAGGCCAAGGATGTGGCTGTTCAGGATTCAGGCTGCAACAGCATAACTTCTTGGGAAAAGTTGGGGAACTTTGGTGTATCATGTCAGGCACTACCTGAACACAGAAGCTCACTTCATAAACATTAGAATTCAATGAACTAAAAGTAAATCATGAGATCATTTACATAAGCACCACACCATTTGCAAACAGACTTGTTCCAAATCCATATGGAAACTTAAATAGCATCTTCCATTAAGTTGCAAGTAAAATAATCATTTTCTTTTGGATCTGGTTCTTATATTGCATTTTAAAACATTAATATAAAAGTTCACAGAAAGATATAGTTCCTGTACAAATTTACCCAGGTGTACAGGAAAGGTATGTTTCAAGCTGAGATCTCCGTGGTACATATTCAAAAAAAGTGTGAATGAATGATAAAGAGGAATGATTCAGTATGAAAATAGGGTCACTGATTGTTTAAGAAACCCAGCCTCCTACATAAAATCTCAAAAATCTCAGCAACACACAACACCAATGTAATCACAGTAAATGTGTACATAGCAATGAGGAAAATTGTCTTTTCAAAGTGTTCTGGCACCAAGCAACGGGTAATATTAAACTTTTTATTGAGGGCTCCTGCATCACACCGGTAGACTGGGTTCACCTGGAAACCAAAGAGGTGACTCTGAAGCCAAAAAGACACAACTTCAAGGACAACCCTTAACAAAACGGTGAGGATATAAAAAATAGTGTAGATAGGCTTTTGGAGGATATCTTCCTGATTGATGGTTTTACATGCTGCATAAAGATGAAACACTGCTCCAGGTACCAGTACGGTCACTAGCTGTAATGCCCAGAATACCTAAAGTATAGCAGAAAACTTGCTGTCAGATCATTTGCAACTGCATTGAGCCAGCTAAAAGTAGACTCACACCTGAATTTCTTATAAGAATCTATTCAATATATAAAACACATATAAAATTAAAAGATTATGTAAGGTAAGAACAATCAATGTTACATTTTTTTCCCCAAAATCTGGATTTAGAGCTCATTTACTTTTTTGTTAACAGTCTCTGAATTGAGGTAAACTATGGTATAAATACAATAGGTCACAATGAAGAGGTCCTGGGCCTGCATACCTTTATTCACATAAGTAATCCTTACTTGTGTGGGTAGTTCTTATTAACCACTGGTGGTGGTTATTTAGACATTGAAGGATTTTATCTCTAAAACACCTTTGCAAATAAGTATTATCTCCATATTTTTTTAAGGATGGTAAACTGAGACACACAGTAAATTGACTGACTTGTTCGGGATCATACACAGTTAGTCACCGAGCCATAAATTAAAATCAGGTGTAGCCTCCCATTTCCCTACCCTACTCAGGAGACTACCCATTCAACCATTCCACAGGGTCAGCGGAAATACCCATGTGAATAAAGATGGGTGTGTGCATATAGTCACAGAATCCAGCCATTACAGTCTACAAGTCTTTTCAGGTTAGATATTGTTTATTATAGTTCATTTATGAGCTGATCCTACAAACTTTTCTCACCTGAGCTATCCTTACTCTGGCAAATAGTCTGACTGTTTCCAGCAACTAAAGATTATTTTTCTATTCAGTGAGGATTACTCTTGTGAATAAGGTTAAAAGCACAGCACCTTTCTTTGCCACAAATGATCTTATATTCTAAGTTATATCACTACGTTGTCAAAGTACTTCTTAGATTACTCTGCTAACTTGACTTAAAAAAAATAGATAAAAAAATACCTGAGGAGTAATTGGCCTGAACTGATTGTAACAGAAGAGATTAAGCTCTCTCTTATCTGGATCACAGCTGAAGTGCAAGGCCTCATTTCCATAAACTGCAAAGCCCAAAACGCCAAGGAAAAACATTCGAACTGAGCCAAAGAAAAGTGTGTGGAACTGACCAATTACTGTTGGCGGCCTGAGCTGCAAATGACAGGATTATTTGAAAGAAAAGACAAAGATAAATATTGTTATTCTTGCAGGTATATTCTTTCACTTTACCAAAAAAATGTACTTTACATTTGGAAAAATCCTCCTCATTCCTTTCTCTCCCTTTAAAACAACCACAACAAGAAGACTGTAGTGGATATGTAACCAAGTAATGCCTTAAAATGTCTCACTGTTTCTAAAAGATTTCATAAGCACTCATTCCTTTAGCCTCCATCAGATAATCTGTTTAACAGCTCTTTAAAAAGAAATCAATAGTAGCTGTAGATATCATATACATTCAGCCTTCTCCTATTACAAACATGCCAGACAGACTGAAGACGGAATCCTTCAATGAAGACTTCATATTTTGTTTTGCTGTTGTTTAAACTGTCACAATGGGAAAAGAATGATTGGCTCCATCTATGAATCCTTGGAAGCTAACTTTTGACTTCTCAGAAGTAAGGCTTGTAAGAACCAGGCCAGTTTATGCCCCAGTTCCCATTAGTCGTTGTGCCTCATTGATATTTCCTGTAAGGAAAGCATGGGTTATGTACAGTGTTACAAGTCTCATGCTAATCTATTCCTCCAGAATTTCTTAACAGATCAGCTGGTCTCTGAACATGACCAATTGTAATGCTAAAAAAATTTTAAAATAAAAATAAAAAGCAGATTATTCCTTTCCCTTTCATTTCATGATTCACTTCGTACTTACACATCCTTCATAGAAGTTCTTGATGTAATTTAAAGACATGTCTTGGAGGATGCTAGCCTCGTGCAATGGTGGAGGAAATCATTGCCAAGTGGCCGTCATCAGACTGGGTCTGATGCTATTGCTCTCCCATGACTCTTGCTGTGGAAAACACTTGTCACTGCATATTTTGCCTTTTTATCTCAGGGGCCCCAGGCAACCTGACCCTTTCAGGCCCCCAAAAAATAAAAAAAGCTTAGAAACAAAAGGCGAGGGCATGTGGTCTGCCTGCTGATCCCCAGTGACTACAGTCAGCAGAAACAAGGCACACAACAAAGGGACACAAAAGCAGGGGAACGTGCCTGGGCAGCTGGGTCCCAGCAGGACTTAGGGGGCTTGAGAACTAAAGTGACCTGGGGTGGGGCAGAGTGATTCTTCCTGCTTTCAGTGACAACCCCATCTCTTTTTCTTGCTTTATTCGCCCAAGGGGAGCCAGTAAAAGTTTGCTGCACTAGAGCCCTCTCGGGGGGGGGGCGGCTTGGCAAAGGGGCAGTGTGGGGCAGGGCAGAGCTGCTGGAGGGGCTTGGCAAAAGGATAGTATGGGATGGGAGGGCTGCTGGAGGGGCTTGGCAAAGGGGAAGTGTGGGGCAGGGGAGGGATGCTGGAGGGGCTTGGTAAAGGGATAGTATGGGGCAGGGGAGGGATGCTGGAGGGGCTTGGCAAAAGGATAGTATGGGGCAGGGGAGGGCTGCTGGAGGGGCTTGGCAAAGGGGAAGTGTGGGGCAGGGGAGGGATGCTGGAGGGGCTTGGTAAAGGGATAGTATGGGGCAGGGGAGGGATGCTGGAGGGGCTTGGCAAAAGGATAGTATGGGGCAGGGGAGGGATGCTGGAGGGCTTGGCAAAGGGATAGTATGGGGGCAGGGGAGGGCTGCTGGAGGGGCTTGGCAAAGGGGCAGTGTGGGGCAGGGAAGGGATGCTGGAGGAAGGCGCTGTGGCCCCCGTGCCCCATGCTGGCTGGAGCTCGGTGCAGCCCCGGAGCGGGCACACGGGGCTCTGTCCCTGGCCCGCTCGCGGCAGGGAGCAGCCCGGAGGAGGGGACCCCGGGCTTCCCCCGCGGGCCGAGCAGGGGTGTGGTACGCACCAGCCGCATTCCCGGCGCCGGGTTGTTGGGGCGCCCCATTCACTTGGGCTTCAGTCCCCGCGCGCTGCAGCTCCGCCGGGCCCCTGCCAGGGAGTGCGGCTGGAGCATCCTGCAAGAGAGGGGCTGATCCGCTCCCCCCGCCCAATGCACAAACACACCCGCGGGGAGGGAGAGAGCTCGTGGCTCCAATCCAAAAAAAAAAAAGCCTAAAAAGCACCCATGGCTATTCCCTGCCCTGCTGCCTCCCTCCCCCTGCCTTGCCCTGAGTGTCCCTCTGAGTCAGCAGGGGCTACTTCACCCAGGGTTCATTATACTTTCACTCTTGGTGGGGGGTGTGCAAAAAAAAATTGGGCTGCCCAGCAGCATGCCCTAATAAAATTGGAGACCTCCCCACACCAGGTTACAATTTTCAAAAGTAAATTAACTTTGAAAGGCCCGGGGTCTTTAATGGCAACTTTTTATCTGCTCATGCTCAATGTTAGTTGAAAAGTTATTTTAAAAAGGCGTTACACTTCTCGAAGAAGGGTAGCTTTCGTACCTCGAGTTTTATTCTTAGCGCAATAGGTTTATCCAGGGCCCCCAGCAGTTAACAAAAAAGCACTCATTTCAATAGGCGGTGGATTGAGTCATGCTCATTCAAATGGATGAGTTAGAAAATCTTTTGTTTTCTTGAGTCTCCATCAAGAATATTTTTATTCTTTCTGATACTGAAATATAAGACTGAGTTTAATCTATTGGCAGTGGACTCTGATGAAGCAGGCAAAAGAGAGCTTGACTTTTATAAATCAAAGATATTTTTCTGCCACTCAACAAACAAAAATGTCTAAGAAATTATTATTACTCTAATTGTAAATATTCCAAAAAAATACAAACTGCCTCTTCCTTCTCTAGAAACTACCTTTACAGGGCGGCTCTTGTCTCTTATGGGGGAGGAGGGGCAAATCAATGAGATAAATTATGTGTGGAGTGGGGTTGCACCTATTCCAAAACATGCTCGGACTGCAAAAAGAGTATGAGGGATGGAACAAAAAGAGACAGACATGATTGAAGGATAATGGCTGTTTAGCTTTCCAATTTTCTGTGCGCTTTGGGCTGTGGATAGCCATTCAAAGATCTTTCAAGGCACTGGATTGGTATCACTTTTATAAAGCATCTCAGTGGTCTGTTGGGAAAAAAAAAAATCTGTAATTTGAAATAACTCGAACCTTGACTTCACCCTGCTCCCCCCACCGCGATTGCTGAAGTCCCCAGATTCCACAGTTGTTGGTATCCAGGAATCCCAGCCCCACCATGGAATGGGGCAGGCATGTGAAGCCTGCAAGACCCCCTGCTACACCTTGCCCTTGTTGCACAGTTGCCTGGCGAATTGCGCAATACATATGGACGGGTAATGTTATGATCACATGGTAGAAGTGACTAGCCCAGCTCTAAAAAAGAGGCAACCAGCTACAAAGTTAGGGCCTCAAAAGGAGGAACAATTCTGCTGCTGGTTTCTATCCAGCTTTCTATCCAGACTGAGAAACATGTTCAGGAGTCAGCATGTCTTGGTACAAGTGTTGCACCCTTTCCCCAGTTCACCCATGTTGGACTAGTACACCCAGGGTGTATCTACACGTGCAATAAAATCAATGCAATCAACTCTGGAACCATTTGAGTTGGAGTAAACAGCTCCTGGGTAGAGCGTCTACACATGTGCCAGGGACATCAGCAATTTGAGCTGGGCAGAGCAGGCCTGGTCTAGCAGAGGGTAGTGGGGGAGGTCAGTCCTGGGCTCTGGGTGGTGGCATCAGGTGGTAAAGGGTCTGGGTGGGGCACATGAGTGGTAAGAGTGCAGAGCCATGTGGCTCGGCAACAGCTAGGAGTCTGGCCAGGCTGACTGGGCAATGTATGCCTATGGTCACCATCCACACGGGTTTGATTGCAGTTAATTACTCTGCCATAAGACAGTATTGTCTCTGACAATACTATCTTACGGCAAAGTTCATTAATTTACTGCACCCTAATATGAGCGCACATGTAGAAGGTGACACTTTACTGTGGAGCTAATTAGTCTCTTCAGCAGTAAAATACATGTGTAGATGCATCCCCAGGTTTTTCCTCCCTCTCCTGAACTCAGATCCTGGTGTCCACAACACAGCAGTTCCTCTGTCCAGCCTATGGAACCTTAATTTCCCTACCAAATCCAAGTTCAAATCCAAGTCCAAATCCAAATAAAATCAGGATAAACCACTCATCCAGGACACATCCTGTACAATTCCTTGGCACATTTCTGAGTTCAGGAATATAATTTACTTTAATATAGACAATAAAGCTTTCAACAATTCTGTGTGCTTCAGTGAACCGTTTCATAGCAAAGCCTTGTTCCTGGGACTTAATTATTTAGATCAAATGCAACTAACATTATTATTATTTCTCAGGTCTATTGACAGTGTTTATGCATGTGTGGAAAGAATGTGCAGCTCCCTTCTTTTCTGATTCAAGATCAAATCTTAATGTTTTTTGCTTACAGAGCAGATGATCCATCAAGTCTCCTGTTCAATATAAATTTTATTTGGGTGGTATTTATTACCATTATGGAAGGCTACAGAGAAGACTTTTAATGCAGAGTGAAGATTTGCAAAGCCCTATCACTTGTTTCCATGAAGAGGACTAATAGATTGCTGTAATTTTAAATAAAACATTTATTGTTTTTAATGGTCTGTTGTTAGTAGATAATTTAAATGTAGGAGGCACTTCTAAATGAAAACAAAGCAGAAATCATACACCTTACAAAGCTTTAGTTATAAGATTATATATTCAGTGAAACAATAACTTTGTGTCTTCAAATAATTATGCAATTATTTATTATTTGAATAATACCTAAATGCATGAAGAACATGTTTTGACCAGCTCACAGTGGTAAATATAGGGATAACACAAGATTTCATATTCAAATATATCAGAGTGAGTTTTGAAGAGCAAATGTCAAGGAGAGTTTTAGGGCAAGATGCTACGTGACCCAAAATAGCACTGCCCTTATCCCTTCTCTGAGTTATCCCATCCCATTCTACTCTTGACTCCATATTCTCCTTACATCCTTGAAAACAATTCTAACTCCATACCTTTGTCAGCTTTATAGTCCACCTGTCACTAATAAACACTGCACAATGCATTGCTGTGTCATTTCCTGATATTTCCACATACTTTCTCCAGCAGAAACTTAATTTTCCCAGAGAAGCTTGTCTGCTTTGTTTACAATGTTTCTGCTTCTATTACACTCCATCCCTTTTCTACTTTGTAGTCTCCTACTTACATCCTCATACATCCCTGCTGTCTTGTTTCTCTGTTCTGTTTGCATGGCTTGCATGATACAATGTTCCACTCTGCTCTGCATATGTTAACCCCATAGGTTACTTTTATCGCTCTCATGCACATGCTGTTCAACTTTCAGGTTTCCTTCTCCTTCCTTTTCCTGTAACTTTAATTCCATTAGTAGCTCCTACCTGGTAGCACCCAACAATTTTCATGTCCTGGATTTGTGTTTTCCAGCCTTTTTTTACGTTGGTTTCAGAATTTGTTCATAGGAAAGTAAAATGTACACATGAAATCCCATGTGATTATCTTCCACACTGTCTGAGGCCTTCTTGACTGATAGCTTCCTGCCTCTTCTAGGGTCTTTCACTGAGTGAACTACTTTTATCCAGTTTGTTTTGCTTTCCAGAAATTGTAGTGAGGTAGGGCCTGAACTTCTAAAATGTTGGAGAACTCTGATAACAGTTTTTCTTTATCAAAGAGCATAGCAAATTCCCTGCTACAAATCTTCTGCTCAACTATCTTAAGAACAGCAGAACTACTCCCTGTCAGAACCCATTAATTAGATGCCTATAGCACAGAGAAGAATTGGTATAGCCCAGAGGAGAATTGGTATAGCCCAGAGGAGAAATGACATAGCACAGAGTCTTTTCATTCCATCCAGGAAGAGCACACATCAACTGCTGCAGCTTCCTGAGCCTGACGAAGGGTTTTTGAACCCGAAAACTTGCTTAATAACTATTCTCCAACCATTTGGGTTGGTCTAATAAAAGATATCAAATTCACCCAAGGAACCTTGTCTGTCTATAGCACAGAGGAAAATTCCATGGGTTCGATACATATGGCATAGTTTTGCTGTCAGTCATTCTGGTGGCAGTACCTAGGTCATGGAGGAAAATTCCGCTATGCCTGAACCCAGTAACCAAATGCTACAATAGTGGAAAATTACAGTTTAGAAAAAAGTTCCCGCCACTCATATGCAAATTCACATTATTATTGGCCAGTTTTAAATTATTCCTACGTGGCGACCAGCGGTTGGCTTGCTAGCCATATAAGAGGTTGAAGCAGTTTCCGCCTAAGCTGGAGGACTCCACATACATCTCGTGGAGAACTCTGAGCACGCTGTGGAGCCTAGCAAACTCCACGTGTGTCTTAGAGAAGAACTTAGGGGCCTGATCAACCTCTAATTGCTCCCCGTCACCGACCCAAGGGGGCCTAGCACACCCCCACCCGAGACGTAAGACGACTGCCGGTTCGAACACCCCAAACACCCCGAACACTTTGCAGACTGACCAAACGAACTTTGTAATTTCTGCCCGACCCAAGTTTTGTTTACACTGTAATCGAAGCAAGCTTCTGGCCTGCACTGTATGAGCAGTGTAAGTAAACAATCTTTTTTGTTCAATCAAAATGCTTGAGTACCTGATTCCACTCCAAGCGTCACAAGTACCCGCCTGCCGACTAGGGCTCCTAAGGCCCCGAACCCCGCGCCGCGGCTCTCAGCGGCGACACTCCCTTTCCTCTGATCTGCAGAAATAATGAAATAAAGCATGTGTGGAGAGGGGTTGCACCTATTCCAAAACATATTCACACCGGAAAAAGAGTATGAGGGATAGAACAAAAAGAGGCATACATGATAGAAGGGTCACGGCTATTTAGCTGTCCAATTTTCTGTGTGCTTTGGGCTGTGAATAGTCATTCAAAGACCTTTCAAGGTACTGAATTGGTATTACCTTTATAAAGAATCT